CAAAGCGATACACGTACAGATGCTTTGACAGTGTCACACTGCGCTTACTGCACCACGTGGGCAACGGTAAACATACTTTGGGGACGATCAACGATGTTATTATAGTATGCTCTCCAGGTCAAAAGCTCATTCTCAAAAAGTCATCGTACCCGACAACTCACTTTCAACCATTCCACGATGACGATACCAGACTCGCCCAAGACACCCAAGGCCGACTACGCTGTGATGGATCCCTGCATGAACATGAATACTCAATCGAGCCTGCCAAGTACCAACGATTTGCAGTCCGTTCCTCCTACGACAAAAGAGTCGTGTTCTCCTCTCCGGAAGCTTGCTCGCTGGTGGATCGCGCTGCGTTGGCAACTGGCACGTAACCTGTTCTCCGTGCCGTTGCCGTTCCTGACGTCGGTGTTTGATGTCAAACTCGGTGATCTTTTCATCGTATTCCCGATCTGTCTGGTCTTTATCATCACCACTGCAATCCAGGCCAATGATCGCGAGGTGGAGAGCACTGGCAACCCTCCAACCTATGGGCTCTTGGTCGTGTTCATCCTGACTGTTCGAAACAATTCGGTTCTTCTGGCACTGACCGGCATCTCGTACGAACGTGTTCTGTTCTACCACAAGATCGCTGCATTGATCACGATCATCCTGTCGGGTCTGCATGGTTTCGCGTATATTCTTGCCCACGACAAGGGCGAGATCTCTGGGGAGGGAGACATGGTGCTCACCGGTACTGTGGCATTCGGTGCGATGGTACTGATGTTCGTATTTTCGTTAGGCTTCGTACGTCGTCGCTTCTTCGAGTTCTTCCTACGCACTCACTGGATCCTCTTCATCGTCGTGCTAGTGTTTGCAGTCATTCATGGAGCTTCGACTGCGCTTATCGGTATCATCCCTTGGGGTATCGACATGGCATTCCGCCACGCCTACCGCCCTCGCGTCTACGCTCAAGGCTCCATTATCGGAGGCAATAAATCAACTTCACAAGACTCGGCTAACTTCACTGGTAAGAGCATGGGCGTCATTGCACGCGACCAAGTTGCTATGTCTGCGCTACCTGGTAACGTCGTTCGGATCCAGTTCCCCCGTGTCCGTAAGGATACTGGCCAAGTCTTTAACTACCAAGCGGGGCAGTACGTCTTCCTGTGTGTGCCGACCATTTCGAGTCTGGAGTGGCATCCGTTCACAATCTCTTCGTCTCCGCATGAGCCGATGGTGACGTTGCACATCAAGGCACTTGGTGATTGGACGAGCAAGCTGCAGTCACTCATCGTTGCCTTGGGTGGTGAAGTGGCATCCCCATTCGACGTCCTGGTTGACGGTCCCTACGGAAGCGTCTCCATTGATATCAAGACTCCCACTACATACTCGCACTTCGCGCTGTTCTCCGGTGGAATTGGTGTGACTCCGATGCGATCCGTCGTCAATCGGTTGCACTACGAGGCTCATCATGAAGGCCGTTCCAGTATCGAACGCGTCCACTTCGTCTGGTCCGTGCGCAACCGTGATATGGCTCAGAGTCTTGTCGTCGACGTGACTGGTGACAACAGAGGCGATTGCTACTTCCCGAACGGTATCATCAACAACGTCGGAGACGCCTTCTCGAGTGAGATTTATCTGTCTCGTTCTGAACGTGACGTCGAGGCTGCTGACTTGGATCGTCATCTGGGGAGCAGTCTCCGTTATGGATCTCGTCCGGATATTTCAGCTACGCTGCGTATGGTCGGCGAACAAGCGAAGCAAAATGGCAAGACGCGCGTTGCAGTATTAGTCTGCGGTCCTTCGAGTATGGTACGCGA